CTAACAAAAAAAAATGCAAAAATAAAAAAAGGGTGAATCATATTATGAGAAATTAAATTCACGTTTCTCACAATTTTGATCCCACAGTTTAACTAAATAAATAGATTTGAAGAACTAACTTTTAAATTTTTATTTTCATAAAGTATACGTCTAAGTATTGTTATGTGTGAACGCAATGTTGACTAAATCCTTCACACAAATAAAAGAAAAAAGAAAAAAGAAGAGGCTGCGCGCAAATAGTAGAGTGAATGAAATTAAATATCCTTAAACCCATAAACCTTACTTGACATTTACTATATAGATTACACCTTAAATGGTTTCATTTGCAAAATAAAAACTAGTGGGTTGGTGAAATTTTTAAGTATACCCAAAGTAAACCCAATCACACTTCCCCTTTCATTTTCACCACCTGAAAAAAACTGCAAAACGTTGATAAAAACAGAGCACAACACCTTAAAACAACGAAGTCGTTGAATCTCCATATCTATAATGACAAGCCACTCATGTAACCGACTTCCACCTCGCGTTTCAATTCCATACCCGAATCCATTGAAAACACGAAGAAGAAGACGAACCAAACGATGAACAAACAAGATTCAATGTCTTGTCATCGCTCAAAACCAGAAATATCAAACGCAGTGTTAAAAATGAAGGCTCTGCCGCGTAATGCGGCGGTTAATTAGCCACCGGTGAACTCATGATGGTGCTTGACATCAGCGTGACCGCCTCTGGTGAAGAGCTTCAGATGCTGAAACATTTGATGCAAGTTGTGATCTCCCGCTGGGCTCCACCAACCGTTTCATTTTTCGGCGGTTTCAAGTGGTTGTTTCCGCTATGAAAGATGACTTGCCGCAGTTAGAAGGTGGCGCATCTCGTTGATGCCTTGGCAGTGATTGAACTTTGTCACGACGCATTTATAAGAAGCTCGTCACAAATGGTTGAGGCGCTTCCACATTTGTGAGTGCTTGCGCTGGCTTGACGTCGTTGCGGGCAGGCGCGGCTCAAGAGTAGGGCTAAAGGCAAATTAAAAAAGGAGGCTTTTTTTTATTAATAAAATAATTTTTTTAAATTATTATAATTTTATTTAAATTTTATTTTTTAAATTTTTATGATGCAAAATTATTTATAAAATTCTCGTAATTAATTTTATTTAATATATATTTTTTAATAAATAATAAAGCTAATCTGTTTAATTTTTATTGAGACATTACTAATCTTAAGTAAGTTTTTATCAATTTTAATTTTAAAAAATTTCTTTCAACTGAAGTAACTAATATCGAAATTATTAATATTATTTTGTAAGCTATATATGTATTTAGAAAAAAATTTATTCTTTTTATATAATTGAAAATGTCAATTGATTTATCATTTTTTAATTTTATAATTTTTTTTAAGATATTTAATTCTGAAAATAAATTTAATCCATTAATACCCAAGAAATTATCATGTTTCAAAAAAATTTTAGGATTTAGGCATTTTTCTTTTAAAATTATATTATTTAGTGACTTTAATTTTTTAACACTAAATAAAAAGTAAAAAATATCTTCATACATTTTCTAGTTGACATTTATATATTTTTATATGAATTTAAAAATTATAATATATAAAGTATGAAATATTATAGTAAAAAAATATGAAATATAAATATATAAAATAAGACCAAATTAAAATAATAAAACTTTATTGTCAAAAAAATAAACTTGACACTTGTAATCTCGCCTAAAAAAATGACAAATTTGCAAAGAAACATTTTGATTAGTGAAGGGAAGACTGAGTAGTGAAAGAAAGACTCTTGTATCAGTGCCTCTGCGTTAAAAAAATAGAAGGCTTCGTACCAATGCTTCTGCATTAGAAAAATAGAAGACTTTGCTTCCTCCTCTACTTCTATCCTAAAGTTGTTATTAGTAAAAAAAAATACAAATTAAAGTAAAATTAAACAAGAAGATAAGAAGAAGAGAGTAGTTAGAAAAAGAAAGAAATAACAATTAAATAAAAAGTTAAAAGATTGTTCAGTTTGTTTTCTTTGCTATTCAATTATTAAAAAAAAACTTTTTATTATTTATTGGTTAAGAATTATGGCTTATTAAATGTTATTTATAATATTAATAAAAAATTAATCATTACTTAAAATATTAAAATTAAAAGTTATTTTTAAATTTAATTTTTTTAAAGTATATTAAAATAAAACAAAAAATTCGGAACCTAAAACCCTTGCCTTACGTGATTGGGCTTTACGCCGCCGTTGTTGTGGGAGATGAAGGAGGGTGCAAGGGAGATCGAAAATTCCGTTTGGCTTGGATAACGTCCGTTGGGGGGAGGGACTAAATAAAAAATTTAACAAATTTAAAAGTATAAAATATAAAAAAAAAATTATAAGGACTAAAAACAAAAACGTAAATATTGAAACTATTTTCATAATTAAGTGACCTTTGAATTAATATTTTGTCGTGCAAAGTAATGCAAGCATATCTACTATTTAGTGTCAATTCTACTAATTTATTAACACATGGAACTTTTTACTTTCTATTACTTTATTATATTTTTTAAAAAATTATGAAGAATCTAATAGCTAAACTGACCTAACAAATTTATCCTGTCAACAAACAAAAATGTTTTAGGTGCTTACAAAAAAAAGTAAATTAAAATACAGACTTCACCCATTTATTCCCTATCCAACATACTAATTCATCATCACAATTTTCTTCAGTGATGAGTTTATCCGAACCCCAAAAAAGAAGAAGATTAAAATAAAATGAAGCCAGAATGAAATATTAATCGACAGCAGCCAGATTCCATAGAAAATTTGAATTAAGCCAAGGAACAACCATTATGACTCCGAACGATGGAATATTGCCGATGAGATAAGGCTTCACCCCGCTCAGATTTACGCATGACCAATAAAACTGCGTTAAAGAGCGTGGTATGCTAATTCTTTATAATGTTTGAATAGTTACTATATGTGTTAATGTTGTTAAATTTGAGTTAAGGTATGAAGTGTTACTTGAACTCTCTCTAATAAAAGATTTTTCCTATGTAAAATATAATTATACATGAAAGATTAAAATTAAAAATTGTTTAATAATTACATGAGTTAATCACATTGATTTGGTATATATTGTCACTCTCTATTTATAGTAATCGCATTAGTTTGAAATGAAAGAACAAAGTTACTCACTAAAGGTTAAGTTTTAGCTTCTTCTTCTTTTTTTAAAGATTTTTGGCCAAATTAGTTGTATGGTAAAATATGTATATTGATTGTGTTCCGTATCTATACAATTAAAGCTCAATTTAACATATTTTAACTTAATATGATTTTGATTGTCCAAATCTTTTGACTGAATCAGAGTCATTCGAGGCTTATAAAGACACTTCACTTACACCCAATCATGTTTCATACCCCTAAAAGTAAAGAAACTAAACTACTAACTCAGGCGTCTCACATTAGAACTTTGAGAATATTCAGTAATTAAACCCATTTAAACTTTGCATTGGGATTACCTTTATGTTTAAATATTAAAACCATGATTTAGCCACGTATATGAATCCTATAAATAAGACATCATGCTTCGTATATACTCTATCAAAATACACTCTCAATTGGAGCTTAAAGTATCTTGACAAGTACTCACACCTTCGCGTGATTGTAACACCAACATATTCATCATCTTGACCTTCTACTAAAAGCAGATTCAATAGCGTGGCCTAGATCAGGTTGTTTAGTGATCATTCTCTGGATCATTACTGCTCTATCATAGCTTTTATTAGCCCTCAAAATCATGTTCGGTTCATGCGCGATTCGTAAGCGACAAGGCAGGCCTACCAAGTAGATGATCACTGGACTCGTCCCATGTGATATATACGACCACTGTCTATTGTCTTACTCTTTCAAAGAAGAAAAGCATTGTCCACTGTCTTATCTGAAAATGATCTTAGTCTCACCAATGTCGGGTTTTCTCCCTCCATTCATTAATGCTATGTATCTTCCATGATTAATTAATCAAATCTCCTATATACGCAATCTAACTCGAGGGGAAGAAAACAAGCACAACAAACAAAACCAACATTATCTATGACAAAGCAATGGCGCGGTACGTTAATCAAACATGGCATCCCCTTCAACACCCAAGCAATTGAATGATTGCTACTACCTTTCAAATAATGCATGAACTTGAAAACTTTATTAGTTAATTAACTACTCCCACAGTGAAAAATACAAATTTAAAAATATTTAATTCTTTTCTCTCACTTCAAATCAAGGGCTACAATTAATACCAAGAAAATACATGCCCCAGTTCCAATTATGTGTAATTTTAATCATTACTTAGAATTAATTAATTAATTAATTATCATTTCCACAAGGGCCCTTACCATAGAAATTGATTGAAGACGACAAGTATTAAATGCAAAACATTCAATTATTAATCAATAAAAGAGAGAGAAATTGTTGATATACGAAGGCCAGAAATGTTGGCAGGTAGTAGCATAACACAAATGTTTCACTAAATCTTTTCACATTGTAAATTAAGGGATTGACAAGTGAGGTACGATGGTTCAGACTGGCAGGGTAAACAGGTTGCAGGCCTGACATATGGCCCCGCATCAATGTTGAAGGCTTGAAGGTGTTATCTTGTCTGCATATTCTGCCACAGATCCAATGGCCCAACTCAAAATTTCATACAATTTCCCCCATACTTTAGCAACCCATCGGCATGAATCGTGAAGGTCATTATCTAGTGCCCAAGGTGAGTCCCATTTCAAATTTCAACTTGTATTGGTTACCAAACGTAACTTGAAAATTGCAAAGAAGTTCTCGAAAATCAAGAAAAATATACAAGTTTGAGAAATCAAAGAATCTGCGTTTAGTTTGATCACCTATTGTTTCTCTAGCAAGCAAAATATGCGATAAAATAAATAACTATTATTTAAATTCTTCATCCACACAACATATTTCTTCTTCCGCGCACCATCAATATATATTACAAATTTAAAAAATAAAGCCTGGAATTTTCAACGGCTAATATTTTTTTATACATAAATAGAATAATCTTTTGGTTTAATTTGTTTACACTTAATTGAATCCAAAGACAAAGACAAGAGTCCTATATAGGAGTTTCTCGCATGTGACAGAACACGGGTTGAAAAGATAAAACCCTTAGCTTTTGTTGTAGATTTAGGGACAAAAGTTATCACAAACTAATGTGCATGAAACAGTTGGGGAACAATATTAATATTAATATATAGATGTATAGGAATCATAAGAACATGAAAAGAAAACCGATACGGCCCAAATACACGTATACGGTATAGTTTGAGATTCAAATGGAGATGAGGGATTCGTGTTTTTCTCGTTTAAATCTTTACCCAAAAGCACAGATAGCCATCAATTTCAAGCCAGACAGTGATGACGTGACTCTCGTAGACCATTAGGCTTATGTACAATTTACCACTGTGGTCTATATGGATACGTAACCAACAATCTAAGGGTCTTATGACAGTTAACTAGTTAGTCTGTGTCTATATATAGGAGTGGAATTAGCACATGTATTGCATATTCAGATAAACAGCGAATTGTCGAGCACAAGTCTAATAGTTTTAAGATGGCTGCTACACAAAACAAGCGCATTCTACTTGTGGTTTTCGTCATCCTCTGCTTCTTCTCCATCCAATCTAGAGGTACTTCTTTTGTTCTAAGAGAATTAATTAAATGTTCCTATACTTTAATTTCCTGTTTGTTTCTAAGTTTAATTAAATTGTTTTTGCATTTTATGTATGTGCAGCACGGACATTGAAAGAAAGTAGCAACCTAACTAGTGGGGATCCCAACACAGCTCAACATAAGGAAGCGCATGCTAACGTATTTAAGCCCAAAGAAGAGGATAACGTTAGCGGTGACGTGTTTTCAATGGATTACACTCCAGCCTCGAGGAAACCACCGATTCATAATTAAATTGTTCGCAATTTTGGTAAAGAAAGTATATACTGTAGGAAATTGTACTAATATTCATGAATAATTAAGTTGTGCTTTTTTGTAACGAAGTATTATCTAAATCTAGAATACAAGGTATAGTTAATAAAATATGACAAGTTTTTTTTTTGCTACAATGAAACTCTCGGTCTCATCTTCGTGAAAATGATCTTCACTTTGTTTTATACCCTTAAGATAAAGATCCTTTAAAAGTTAAAAGAAAAAATTGAGGATAATATTTATGATGATGTTAGAAATTTCCAAAAGATAAAACTCGTCTCCAGACATGTATGCATGTGTACAGTGTACTACACAAGATAGCTATTGCAACTTTATTTTATCTATCTCGTATTTCTTTGTTGGGGATTACATCGCTGAAAATAATTTGCGAAAAGTAAGACGGGCAAAGTTTTTATCTATGAATAATCTTCATATATAGCCAAACAAAATTTCTCATACACACACACGATCCATGATCAACTTTTATAGTTTTGGATAAGAATGAAAACTATCCTCAAATTAAGAGGTTTACATGGATACAAGAATATATAATTCAGCTAGAACGAGCTTGATCTCAGGAAAGGAAAATGCCATATATGTATATATATAGATGCATGTTTAAAACTATCCAAACCCACATGCTCTATAAATCTTTCGTATGCATGTAGTGTTTGCTCCGTTTCTTACATCAATAAGACAGACATTAATTAACGATTTTTAATTTGTAATCGATTTTCAAATATGCTTTGAATACAAGATTTAAAACAAACTGTGTTAAAAACAATTCTTTAATTGTATTCAAGTACCGTTTGGCTAGCGCATTATGTCTTGTGGAGACGCTAAAAAGTATAATCTGAGGCAAAAGTTAATTCAGATTTTGTGTATAGTTAGTGTTTAAGCCCTTTCCAAATGCAATTGTCGTTGCTATTTACAGGCTTGGAAGTTCGTTTCAACTCTGCAATTCTGTTCGCCATGCACCCTAAATTGTGTTTATTATTGAGAGTGTATGGTTTGTTGCTTATCATGAGGTTAAATATTTTATGCCAGTATATGTCAGATCTTCTTTCTTTCTATCTTCTCTCTTCTTTTTGCTTCCTTGAGATCGCGCATGACTCCATGTTCAAGCTGAATATGCATGTAAACTTGCTTGACACCACGTTTTATTCAATTCCAGAACGATAAAAGTTTATTATGAACAGTAATGTTGATTTTCAAATTTCTCAAAAAGAAATTTGCTTTTAGTCACGCCTCTCTCTTCCTTTATATTCCGTTTCTTTTATTTTTTTTTCCATCCTTTTTCGTTATATTTACATCTCTGATCATTTTTTTTTCTCTCGTTATTTTTCTTTTTTCCCAATCATTTCACACCTTACAAGAGAAGGGTGAGACAATCATTACCTTTCTCAAAATTTAGTGCAACTGAATTATACTTGAAATTTTACTGTAAAATTTGACAAAAGTTCATTAAATAAATAAATTCAAATTGAAAATTTCACTTAAATAAGTCAAATTTAAATTTTATAAAATTAAGATTAAAACTCATAAATATATTATATATGTTTGTACAATCCAAAAAAAAGTGGTAATTTTATTTAATACATTTATTTGGTAAATTGTAATTTTCTCTATATATTATCAAAATTTTATCTTTTACACTTGCGTCATCTTTATTAATACAAAACCATATTTTACTTTTTTTTACTTTATTTTTATCATAAAAAATATTTATTAAACAATAAATTATCAACATTAAGAAATAATTCAATGAAAATATTTACTAAATAAAAACATATATAATCAAGTCATAAAAAAATCAAATAAATAAAAATTTAATTTAATTATTTTAAATAAATAGTTTATTTAAATATATGATACAAATTTGAGTGACTATTTCTTTCTCAAGAAGCCTAAACTTCAAGTATTTAGTTTAACTTGACTCATTTCGCACACTTAATTCAATCAAGCCTATATTTATCTTGGAATAGTGACAGAGAGAAACGGTAAATAAGTTTTATATGAGAAAAAAAGTCAAAGAATGTTAACTATTAAATGCAAGATATATAAAGCATAAAATCATAATGATTTTTTTTTAAAAAAAGCGTTTAGTGGGAGTTTTAATTTTGAATTTTTTAAAACTTCATTTTGGATTTCTAAGATCAGCTTATTTCATATTAGGTGTCTAGGTTCTGTGGCATGTAGTTGGCCTTGGGCCTTAGCTATATAAGCTATACAAACATTCGTCCATTGTGTGTTGTTAGATCCAAAATGGCCAACTGATCAGGACCACTACCCTGAAGTTTACCTCTCTTCGTAAAGAGTTTGAAATCCACACGACTTATATAAAGAAAGTGCCGTATATTACACGAAGGCACCGACTTTGTTTAACTTTAATAAAATCAAATTAAGCCCTTAAATTCCGTCGCCATAGATAATTCATGGATTCAAGTTTTCTTTTATTAAGTCAGGGATGTCCTTATCATTTTAAATTAGACTTAAATTTAACTAGAGAATTGTTTTAGCCTTTATAACTGACTATATTTACAATTTTAACAAGTTTCATGTTTTTTGTTTCTGAGGTATTAATGTTATCATTTATAGCGTTTTGGAACAACTTCCCTGTGTCTTTATACCACTGCAGGTCCAGTTAAATGACAAACCATGGAGTACCCATGGATCATGGAACTGTTTTTTCTTTATCTGAAACCTAGATCAGGTAAGGCCCTGAGCTTCCTCACCCCATAAAACCGAAAAACAAATTGGTCTAACAGGCACACACATGAAGCTTCTTTAAAGTCTAATATTGTGAAATCTTGCATTAACAAGATACAGGATTAAAGATATAGGATGCTGTGCTTTGCTGTAAAGCGCAAGAATCAATAAAAAAGGAATGGGCCAACCATGTGAATCAGTGAATGGTTGAATATGTGCGTGTTTGACTGAAAGGTTTGAGAAGAGCTTCAATATCAGTAAAACGCATAATCATCAAGAAATGCCTCTATATCTGAAGAGCAATGATCTCATTGGTATGAAGAACATATACAGAGCAATAAATATATCCATCTCAGCTACCTTTTATATGTCTCTAAATAACTAAAAGATTCACGTCGGATCACCTTGTTGCACTCCATTGAGGGAAGATAATTGATGCAGTATTATGACATAACTGGCTGCAGCAATAATTCTCATCCTGCTCACCCACGATAACTGCTGCGGGCTATCCTACAGTGTACAATATCTTTGGTAACATGTCACGTCAATTTTTCAAATAATAATAATACTAGTAGTAGCAGGGGTAATAGGTTGGTAACCAGGAACGAAACCAGAAACTATCGTTAAGGGTGATCAAAGTTGAATTTCTTTTTTACGCTGTATATCCCGCTAACTTATTGAGCTATTTCGTAGGAACATTATCGAAGTATTTTTTGTTTTTACAGGAAAAGGAAAAGCAACGCTACGACCTACCAATATATATATATATATATATATATATATAGGCAAGAAGTCAATTCTGTCCGTTTTATACAGAGTTAAGCTTAACATAAAAATTTTCTTCTCTCAAAATATAATTAATGAAAATATCTTAATTTCTGTAAAAAAAATTTAAATTTATCTAATAATAACATCATACTTGTGAAAGTAGCACTATTTTTAATATTAACTAGACATTTGTTTTCATACATCCTATCTAATAATAAATCTTTTTATATCTTTCATTCCAAAATAATTAAAGTCAAGTAATTTAGCATTGCAATAAGGTCTATAAAAAATATTATTATCAAAGTTTATTATAAATTGTTATATATAACTTTTTAATTATTATTCAAAGTTGAAAGTTTTAAGTGAGAGAAGAGGAAATTATTTGAGATATAAGAGAGGCTAAAAGAAGGGAGAAATAATCAAAGTTAACCAAAAAAAATTTATTAATTTTGAATATATTTAAAAACTTGACTTTATAGGAAGTTTCTTATGTATCATTGAATTTTCTTAGGATTTTATGTTAGTTTCCTATGTTTAGGATAGTTTATGAGTGTTTGTTTTTAGTTAGTTTTACGTTAGTTGTTAGTTTTCAAGAATTTTTAGCTTTCTAGTAAATTTTATATAAATTTTAATTTTTATTTATAAGAGTTAATAAAGCTTGAACTAAGTTAAAGAGCAAATAAAGTTGAAGTTAAAAGATTTACAGGACTTTTGAAAAGTAACAAGTGAATTAATAAATTAAAATTATATGTTATAAATGTCACCTTAACCACACAAAAGAGTAGACGTGTGTGGCATTAAAGTTCACATAATTATTAAAGAGATTTTTCTTTTATTTTTATTTTTTCTTATTTTTTTTACATTTACGATGTTTAACTAAAATCTCCATGTCATGTATGAATAAATCTTATTTTGAATTTTGAATAAATTAATTCATTTTCTCTTTTTAATTGGTGTAATTATTTCTATTTTAATTGATTCTTTTGAATTGGTCTCTTGAGAGAGAATTTAAGATTTAAATATATGGTTAGAAAACTTAAATTAAATTAGATTTGAATAAATTTTTCAATAACTTGAATTTAAGAATACGATTTGATCATTAAATGATTGCTAATAATTTTTTATGTTTATATTACTTACTTTACTTAAAATTATTTAAGGGGTTGAGAATTTTAGTTTGAGTAAAGGGCAGGTATTAAGGAATTGGAATTGAATTTTAACATTGAGAGAATGTGAATTATAGTTGAAAAATAAACTAATATACGTGATAAGAGAATTAAAAAGATTCTAAACCAAATATTTATCTTTATTATCTTATTTCAATGGAAAATTTATGTGTTCTTAAATTTATATTTCATACTTCAATCTTTATTTTTATTTAATTTATTATTTTGAAAAAGAAAATTAAAAATTACAAACATAATTTGTCATAAAAAATATACTTTAATTAGTGCATTTATCATAATTTTAATTTATATTATGTAAAATCACAGAGGATTTATAAATTTTTTTTCACATTTATAATTTTAATCTCTGTATATTTTTATTGTTCAATTATTGTAAAAATAAAAAGTTTAATCTATGAAGCATATGTGCTGATCCATCTAATATTACTTTACAACAATTATTATTAATGCCTCTTGTTAGAATGGTCGAATGTAAGAATAATACTTATAATTAATAATTGATAAAAATAACAATATAATTCATCTTAAAAACGGGTCACTTAAAAAAATAGTTAAAGAATAATTAATTTTATGAATTCTTGTAAGTATTTTTGGCCTTCTCCGTTTGTTATATAACCCTTATACACTTCAACAAGATAGTTTGGAGCCTTTCAACAAATAAAATAGCCATTTCTACATAAATTAATCACCATAAAATTTTATACCAGACATATTAAAATATCTTTATCATCACATCCTTGGTTCAAAAATATCAACACAGTTTATTAACTTCTTCTCAAAATTCTTTTCCACAAGGTTTTGAAAAAAGTTTTCATATCTTCGTTATCCTGTTAAAATATATAGAATAAGAGCTGGGAAAGAGGGAAGGTTTTAATGGAATAAGCTCGGATATTTTCTTTCTTACATTAGAATAATGATATTCCCCTAAGCTTTACATTTATATATCTTATTAAGTTAATACTTTTTGCTGAAATATAATCATTGTGTTTGAGATATCAGCAATATAAAAAGAACATGATCAACAATTAAGCAAATCATTTAATTTTTTTACAAGACTAGAATATAATATTAATTTCATTTTTAAATGTAATAATATTAAATAAAGACAAGAGCATAATATTAATCTCATATATGAGTTAAAATGTAAGATTTATTCAAAAATTTATATATATAAATAAATACATATATTAAGGCAAGTTCCTCACTGGTTTATGTAGCAAAATTGCTCATTGTTGTCCTCTTGCAGCTGAATTATAAAAAATCTACTTTAGTTGACAGTTGGTTGCCAAAAGTGACTCAAAAGAGTCATTGCACTTAATTATGTACATTCAACATCTCTCATCTTCTATTTGGTTTAATAAATAGCATTATAAATTTGCTAAATTCCATTAAATTTATTAGGTTTGACTATACATTTATGGAAGCTATCTCTTTACTTATTTTGATGTAGCTCCTTCATCTCTACTTCTTTTTTTCTATCTTAATGTTATTAATATTTGAACCCATAGGGTTGCTCCCTAATTCCTCATGTGTTTTGGACTTTTAACCATGTTGAATAGAAAAAATTGTAAATATTAATCAATTTAATCTTAAATTTATGCACATTTTACTTTAATTTTTGATATTTTAAAAATTATTTATTTTAGTTATTTATTTTTTTGGTCATTTTATATATGTTAAAAAATAAATAAAATAAAATTTGTTTTATATTATTAAATATTAATTAAAATTTTGTAAAATTTAAAACTAAAATAATATATGTTTATAATTTAAGAAATTAAAACGATATTTACTAAAGAATTTATATACCACATTAAACTTCCATTGCATATGTAAGTGTTCGTTTAACATCATTATAACGAATCTAAACAACTTAGGGGAAATATAATGTGAAATTTGTATAAGTACCAAATAATCTATAAATAAATATAAATATAGAACCAAATGATTATTTATTTTTCTCATGTTATTGCTGTATTAAGGAATGGTTATGGTTTCATTGCATACTGTAGAAACGAATCGGGCCGAAAGAGCTAGGGTAGTTTTAAAAAGTTGGGCCCATGAAAATAGTTGAAGGGCGTGTGCTTTTCCAATAAGCCAACGAGCATCCCTCTCTTTTCCGCTCTTGCACGCAAGCTTCCATGGTTATGGTATGTCTCCGCTTCTCTTTACTCAATTCAATTTACCAAATGGTTTTCAAACTCCAGATCTCAACACCACTTTATCTGCTTCTACTATTACTACTGGCTCTAATTTTGGTGTATGCTTTTTTCATTTCATGTTTCTTCCCAACGAAGTTGCACTGTGTAGGTTTTTAAAATAAATAAATAAATAAAATTGAAATGGAATGGTTCAATTTGGATTTTGATAAGCTTAGTTGACGATTCTGAATTCATAGGAGAACACGGGGAATTTAGACGCGGCAATAGAGCAGTTGCTGAATGTGGAAAAGCATGCGAGGCTCGCCGGCGACGTCGCCGCCACCAGAAACGCCGTTACGGATATTTTACGACTATGCTTCGAAGCTCGTGCGTGGAGAACCCTCAATGACCAGATTGTTCTCTTGTCCAAACGACGTGGTCAGCTTAAGCAAGTAAGGGATCACTCTTTGCTTTCCTTGTAGATATATAAAAAATGTGCAGGTGTATTTTAGTTCGCTTTAACATTGGTAAAATTGTATTGTATTTAAAATTTATATTGTGTTGTTACCTGCTAGTTATCGTGTATTAACCATTTGGTGTATTATATAATGGGTAATAATATAGGGTGGATGAATTATGGAAATTTTGTTCCAAAAATCAATGGAACATACCCAAGTAGAAAAAGTTTAGGTGTGAAATATGTTTTAACTTGTCATTCTTTTGGCAACAACTGTGCATGCCAGGACCTTGTAGATTTATTATATTAGACAGTTAGAGTAGACATTCTGTAGAACACGTATCTTTAACCACTTATAATTTCATTTCTTATGGTTTGTTTGGAGAAAAAATTGCTGGACTGCATGCTTGAATACAAGAGTATTAGTTCCCTTACCTTTAGAGGTTGGTTCAGTGGAGTAAAATATTTTGGGTTCAGTTTGCAATACAATGTTGCTAATAAAATTGATCCGGTAATTGTTCTACTACCCATATTTTTATCCCTATAATCTATAAACTGAACCATGCAATTTTCACCCTCGTTTTTACCCCTAGACTAAATTAAACATAGATATATTTTTTATTAGGTCATCTGCATAGCTTTTGTATTTGACAGCTTATAATCTAACTGCCTAGAGTTGAGGTTTTATCTAGCTGTCCTTGTAATTATACCAGAAACACAATATGATCGTTCAGTCACAAGCATATTCTTTGTACACAGGCTGTGACATCAATGGTCCAACAGGCTATGCAATATATTGATGAGACACCAGATCTTGAAACTCGTATAGAACTCATCAAAACCTTGAACAGTGTATCTGCAGGAAAGGTGAGTATGTAATGTTTTCACTATCCATTCCTTTTAATAGTCTGTCTTATATGATGTATGTTTAATGTTGATTGACCAAGTTCTGAACTAGAGCAGTTTTAATTCAGTATTAAGAAATTATTAGGCAGTTATGCTTATATTAATTTCGTATTAGGCAGCTAAAGGTTATAGGATTACAGTTGTAGTGACATATTGGTTGTGTGCTAGACTCATAGAAGGAAATTAAGGTGTCAGATTGGCATGGCAACAGGGTGGGTTTGCTCTCCCTGCCCCACAAAGAACAGGACAGGTTTGGGGATGGGTTTAGGGGATGAAAGAATGAAAAATTTAAACCCAACTCCATTCCTATCAGGTTTGGGGAAAGCAGTGGGGAACTCACCCTACCTTTTTTTCTTTCTAAATTCAATTTACTAACTTACATATTTTTAAATAATTCATATATCAAGTACATTCTAACTCAAATAATATTTAAAATATTATTAGACAACAAGAATCTTAATAATAAGAAACTTAAGAACTATATTATATGTTTAGTAAAATTTGTGATTTCAATCCTAATTCATATATATAGAGAGGGAGAGGTGTTTTGGGGGGGGGGGGGGGAACAGGTTTGGGGCCAGGGAAGTAGTTACATCCCCAACCATCCTTGATTTTGCAAATCAAGAAAAACTTGAACCAAAACCCTATCAAAGAAGCTTTTCCCTGTCAATATCAAGTTAGGATCGGACAGCTACCTACCTACTGTTTCAGATGTAACTGTCATGCCTCTGGTTAAGCAAAAATAGTCAATTAATGGATGGAGAATATCCTGCTGGAAATTCTAACCATGTTAGTCAACCATACAATCAAGGGCTTTTCAAGACACATCTATCTAGCCTGGAAGATGGGGATTCAGATGGGTTTACAAAGGCAATGTAGAAAATGAAAATTTTGATTGGCAAGATCCAATTAGCTGGCTGGCCAGGGCTGAAAACTATTTTGAAATTCAAAAGGCTAAACCAGAGGTCAAGGTGTCCTTGGCCTTCATTTGTGCAGACGGGACTACTATAAACTAGTTTTAATATTTGAGGAAGAGACTACCAGAGATGACATGGGAGGTTTTAAAATTAGAATTATTGAAAAGTTTTTCTAGTAGTGGAACAGAAAATCCTTGTAAACAATTAGCAGCCTCGCATCAAACTGAATCTGTGGTGTTTGTGTGTTTGTGCAGCAATATGATATGTTATTGGTCCAATTTACTGAGATTCCAAAAGAATTGGCTTTAGGATATTTTATGAATGGTGGCTAACCATTTGGGCCAATTCATAGGTGTCTTGAAAGGAAGAGTGCTTATTTTGGGGGCAGTTGACGATGGGAGAGAAGTAGGGAAATTCAAAGGGGTTGAATTGATGAAACCAAATTTAAATGCTGATATGCAAAGGACAGTTTCCTTACTTCAGCCTTGTGGACAGGGGTGCTTCTATAGCAGGAGGCATTGATAGGTCAGGTTCTGAATTGAGCAGTTATAATTCTGTATTAGGAAGTTATTGTTATATTAATTTTTTATTAGGCAATAGGCAGTTATGGGTTATGGGTTGAAAATTATGGTGATAGATGTAGGTTGTGTGACAGACTTGTAGAAGGCAATTAAGGTGTTAGATTGTTATTTGTGTTTAGAGGGAGGAAACTCCCTGTTAGGGGAAACCCTTTGTTGATGTTTGTACTCAATTCTGACCTAAAAGATGTATTTTTTCTATGTCATTCAGAATTCACCATGTTTATTTCTTGAGTCAAACAAATGTTTTATTGTACTGTTTGTTAGATATATGTTGAGATTGAGAGAGCTCGGTTGATCAAGAAACTTGCAAAGATTAAAGAAGAACAAGGGCTTATAGCTGAAGCTGCTGATTTGATGCAAGAAATTGCGGTCAGTGTGAATTTTAAATGTTGTGATGGCTTTTATTACATGTCTTTGGTTTTTGTATGTAACTATTTAGTGCAATTAGTTGTCAGTCGACTTAAGCAAATGGTTTTCTCAACAGGTGGAAACTTTTGGCGCCATGGCAAAAACTGAGAAAATTGCATTCATTCTTGAACAAGTACGGGGCACTGTAACCTATCCTTCAGTAATGACATTAATTATTGGCCTCTAATTTCCTATGATACAATTTAGTTGCTGATTTGAGAATCTTGTGCATTTAATTATGTAGGTTCGTTTGTGTCTAGACCGCCAAGATTATGTTCGTGCACAAATACTCTCAAGAAAGATTAGTACAAGGGTATTTGATGCTGATGCTTCAAAGGAAAAGAAAAAGCCTAAAGAAGGTGATAATGTTGTTGAAGAAGCTCCTGCAGATATACCATCTCTACCTGAGTTGAAGCGGATCTATTACGAACTAATGATTCGGTAACTGATTCTGTACTTGCACTTGCTGTTGTCTAGTTTTGCTTGTTCAGTCTGCCACCTAGTGTGGGGGTGTTAAAATTTTGATGTTGTACTGTTACATAGTTATCAATAGTGCATAGCACTGCTATTATAATCTTAAACCACTAAAATTCACTGGTGGATACATCCTTACTCCATCATGCATTACTATTTGTGATAAGTGCTTTTCAATCTTTCTTTCTCATTCTTGTTAATTAGATCTAGGGAACTATAATTCATTGGTTGACCTGGGGATCTGGATTATGTACCATAGATAAAAAGAAAATTGAAGTCTCTGGTTTTCTTTGCTGTTGCCAAGTGTTTTGTTTTTTTTTTTTATGCTTTAGTTGGTTTGATGGTCTCGAAGGAAAGGAAAGGAGTTTGTTTAAGCATTGAACGGTACCTTGTTCTAGATATACCACTGTAGAGGGAACAGAGTATATTTCAAGCCCTTCACTTTCCATGGGTCTCTAAGGTTTTCTTTGGATTAGTTTTTTACTTTTTGGGGCTTCTCTTTTCCTTATAAGTAGAGGCTCCTCTAATTGGCTTCTGCAAAAGCTCTGTTTGTTCATTAAAAGAAAGGAGCTTGTGTTTTTAAGGGCTTTTTCAATGTTGTGTTTGAGGTGACTTCTCCTTTTAAGGAGAATGGAAACCCAAAAAAAGTTGGGTCAAACATTACCTAATTTAAACTCCATTGAGGATAGATAGACTTGGAGATGAAAACTGACAAGAATTCACTTGTTTCTTTATTGTACGATTTAAAAGATAAAATGGTAAAACCACAAGGGATTGTTGAGGTAAGCATGGGATCTGTAATTAGGCTTACAGTCAAAGTTGAAAATCCTCCAATTTTTAATGTTGCTGGCACCTTGCAATCATGCACCATGGCGGAATGGCATGCTGGATTGTGGACAACAGCATGAAAGGAGCATGGGGTGGCAGTTTTGGCATGGTGACTGATGGCAGCCACAATGCATGTGGGATCCGTGAGGAAAAATACAAGATTTAGGGGTTCTCCATTTTAGAATTGGCAAGTCACAGCCCAGCTGTTCACATGACTTTTATTTTGAAAAGTCATACACTCTTCCCACTACATAAACAAGGATTCCCTTAGTCGCTGTCCACCGCTAAGTGCTAATAACTTGCATTTAGTATAGTTTCATAAATCTTGTTTATGTACCATGTGCAGTGCTTTGCTTGTGTTTTTGTACTTTGTACATGCGAATCTGATAAAGTTTAGGTGAATTGGCCTTGTTGGATATTCTGTTCAATGCTTGTTAACCATGAGTTACTGACTGCCTTTTGAATTTGTTGCCATGATTCAAAATCGGTTTCAATAATATAAATATACTTTTTACATTTGTGGTTGTTTGATTTGCCTTGATGCTGCATTCTTTTGATGCCTTTTTCCTGATGATGTTTGCATGCTGATCATAATTTTTTTTGTTGGTTTATTGTGGTCTCTTTTTATTGTTCAAGGTATTTTTCCCACAAAAATGATTATCTTGAAATTTGCCGTTGCTACAAGGCAATTTATGAGATTCCATCTGTCAAAGAAAATTCCACCGAGTGGATTCCAGTAGGCTTTCCTTGTCTTTATTTGACTTATCTGTTATTGTCAGATTGTGTCTTTTTTCACTAAATATTTTCCATACATGGTAGATCCTTAGGAAAATATGTTGGTACTTGGTTCTATCACCACATGATCCAATGCAGTCAAGCCTTCTCAGTTCCACCTTGGAGGATAAGAATCTATCTGAGATTTCAAACTTTAAGTATGTCTCTCTAATCTTGGTCTCCCATGCCGTGCTGTGTTTTGATGTTCTGATTATGCTTTCCTTGTCATTTGATGCACCTATTATATATCATGCTGTAGGTTATTGTTGAAACAGTTGGTCAATATTGAGGTTATCCAATGGACAACTCTTTGGGATACATACAAGGAAGAGTTCGAGAATGAGAAAAATTTTGGAAAATCTTTGGGTGAAAAGGCAGCAGAAGATCTGAGGGAGAGAGTAATTGAACATGTAATTTGCTTACATTATTATATTTCTTCCGTCCCCTTCTTCCCATCAATTGGCTTGGGTTGTATTGTATATGTCTTATTTTTCCTACATATTGATTTAGAATGTGATCATTAATGTGGAATGTTCTTGTTACCATGTCAGAATATTCTTGTTATATCAAAATACTATGCAAGGATTACTTTGAAGAGACTTGGAGAGCTTTTGTGTCTCAGTGTTCAGGTTTGTAATGCTAGTTATGATTATGTGCTGAAAATTTTACTGTGTAAATAATTGTTTTTAATGGGTTAGGGCATGCCTCTATAGTGTTTCAGATAAATAGCCAAGTTCTTTCCCAACAGCCAGTGGGAGAGAAAAAAAAGGGGGGGTCTGCTTTGGTATTTTTGTGTTGAATGCTCCTTTAGCCTTTAGTAGTTCATTTTCCACCTCAAACTGGTCATTTTGTTGTTTCTTTGAGTTACATATATGATTATAGATGCTCAACCATAGTAGTCAATCTCCGATAGTGGCGCAGAGTGATCAACTCCAAAAATGCTATAACAGGATAGCAAGATGACTGCCATTCTAAAGACAATAAAAACATAGAAGGAAAATAAATCAAAAAGTGTTCAGTCACTGTAAAAAGCTCTAATGCAAATGGCCTCACTGGAAAATGTCTCACTAGCAGCTAAAAAAATTCTACATCTGGTCGGAAATAGTTTGGGTTACATCGGAGATGAAGACAACAGAAAAATGTCTCTGCTCAGGTTAGAAATAAGTTGGGTTTTGTCGGAGATAAAAAAGATGACCAGAACTTGGCCAAAAATGGTCAAGAAAATGACACTGAATATGGAGGACGGAGCAAGAGAATGAGAGAACAGAGATGAAATTAGGGTTTAATCTTGACTTGCAAAGATGGAAAAGCATTCCAACTTTCAGAAATATAGGGGGTAGCGAAATCCCAAGATTGACCCCCTTAAAAAGCGTTCCAACTTTCAGAAAGTGAGGGCAAACATGCCCTTTTTTCTCCTATTTGACATATGAAAGGGGAGTGAAATCCCAAGATTGCTCTCCTTAAAAAGCATTCCAACTTTTAAAAAGGGAGGGCAAACTTGCCCTTTTGCCGTAGGATGAAACAGCGGCCACAACGGCTGCGATTTGCTCCAATTTTTGCTGCAATTTGCCCCGTGACACGCAATGTGACGAGAATGGAATAGGGGCACCCAGCCGCTATCACATAGCGGCTGCTATTAGCTACTATGGTCTCAACTGTTCAAATGTTTATCTTTTAACACAAAGATCCTAATTAATTCTACTTGCGAAATTTCAGGAAGCTGAGAAACATCTTTCAGATATGGTTGTGTCCAAGGCATTGGTGGCGAAGATTGATAGACCCATGGGAATAGTCTGTTTCCAAACAGCCAAGGATAGCAATGACATTCTTAACTCATGGGCAGCAAATGTGGAGAGACTGCTTGATCTTGTCGAGAAGAGCTGTCATCAAATACACAAGGAAACTATGGTGCATAAAGCTGCGTTGAAGGTCTAAGAGCGTCCATATCACTAACAAAAAGTTACAGGTACAGCTTTTGTTCTCTTCACCGCAAATTTCCTTGTAAGTTATTTTTTGAAGAGGGAATTGCTGACAGGTGAAATAGTGAAATAGATTTTGTAATACGTGAAAGTATCATGATAGTTCATTTGTGAAGTTTTTCCTTTATTATCAAAATGCTTCCGTTTCTGATAACCGCAGGTGAACCCCCCCATTATAGACGTGATTTTGGACTGAAGCTGGCTTAACAGAATGTTCATTTGTCTGACCTAATTAGGTTAGTGAGGAATTGCATTAAACAATGATGCCTTTTTTTTTTCTTTTTTCATTTTATATGTTGTCAAAATGCAATCGGGGTAGAACTAGTTATATGCTTCTTAGCGTTGTATACTAAAGGTACATTCCTTACCACCGACTTATGTCGGGATCCTAAACGGTCTTATTTGTAGGTCAGTGGGAAGAAATCGAGTGCTAACATTCTTTTGTCTGTTTAATTCTCCCCAATTGCTTGGGTTTTATGAGGTGCATTTTCTGTTGTCTGATTTCAGAAATTTGGAGTTTCTTAAAACAGTTGGCCCGGGGGATGAGAAATTTTTTAATTTTAAATTAAAAGAATTATGTATCGTTTACGATGATAAAATAATGATTAATACAGTAATTTTATATAATTCATCATTTTTATATCTTTTATTTGGAAAATTTATTAAATTTAAATTATTTATTCAAAATAGAAAATCCCCCCCCCCCCCCCCCTTTGGCGCGCTTTTCAGAACCCCTATTCCCGGAATCGCAGTGAACATGTGATTGTGTCCTAACGAACTTCCGGATATAATAATTCTTTATCAGCGTTGCAATTATCTTGCCCTGGGACCGTTACGCCTGGCTCTGGACGATTGGAGTTGCAGATCCTGGACCCTACAAATATGTTGGTTACTAATTTGAATGGCCTTAATGGTGAATAGGGTGATTCGTGTGACGAATACTGCCGAAGTAGACAATTAATGGAACTTTCCATTAAATGTGGATGTTATTATGAAAAATAATTTAAAAGGTCAAAATATGACTAAGCTTTAACTCATCATAAAGGCAAGTGTCATTTCGTCAAATAATATTTAAGCTTCTTAATAAATGATAGAGTCAATAGTCTTGTAAAGAAGTTATTATTGCCTAAACGGCTATCTATTCCTTGCTCAAAATTATCATTGTTTTCGGTGTTTTACACGCCATCGAGCTCTTAGGTGTGAACGTGTGGCTTAAGTGTAGAGTGTATTCTCTCCTTCGATTGTGAGAGGACGTGTAAAGTTCAAAAGGAAGCTTTAAGGTGAAAATTGGTTTCGAGTTACGTTGCTCAGACGCCAGGAAGAATTATATTGTAAGGCTCTGCGATCCCTGGTTCACACTTCTTTATTTGTATTCGTATGTGTTGTAAGTGATCTTACTTAACGTGTGTTGTGTGTGTAGGTGTGCTTTGCCTCGAATAATTCACTACTCGAATCTTCCTTTTCGAACTAATTGTTGCTTACGTAGTAGAGCAACGTTGAATATATCCCCATAGTAGTTAACCTCAGGATTGTTGAAGTCAAATTCATGGGTCGCTCCTTTTAATTTTCGTCTATGGTACGCCTTATACCTTGTTTATATACTAGTAGACATAAGTGTTTTGAGGAGGCATTTGGAGCATCTTTCCCCTAGTGGTTTGAACAAAGATTCCAAGTTCAACAGGATGCAATTCTCAAATAAATAATGCACCGAATAAATGTTAGAATTTCACGTTGTGATAAGGACTTTTGGATAATAAAAAAGGAAGAAAAAACGAATTTGCAGAAGGTAGACGTTGTTTTTCTAGTTAGAAATTCAAAACTAAACCATTAAATCGTTCCATGCCTACAAATTGTCAAAGGCATGTTTGTCTGGCCACGTTACTAACATGCCATGCCAGAATGTTAGAATTACTAAGCTATAAAACAAACACGTAGTCAGCCATCGATCTTGATTGTAACATTTACATAATTTTAGTAAGATTTTAAGTGTATTATATTAATTCTTAACCCTATGAATCTGTTACTTTTGTCTTCGCAACACATTATTTGCTTTGTTCCATTTAAAACAAAACATCATTCACCATAATATTTAGTTTTAGCAGAAGATGTCACCAAAAAAAGCTAAAATAAATTATAATTTGCAAAATCACAAACTAAAAGGAGAGCTTTATGAAATACACAACTAAAATGACAAAATATTTACGATTTCAGAATTAGAGTAAGTTTTAATTTATTAATGTGAATAAAACTATTAATTTTCTTTAAGTTCAGCGAAGGGGAAAAATAGTGTCGAGTTTATCCTCACATGAATTTTTTCAACTTTGCTCAACTCAGGTACCGAATAAATGAATTTTTTAATAAGCATTTATAAGAAAATAAAATAAATCAACTAAGTAAAATAAACTAAATTTATTCTTTAAAGAAAATTAACTTATGCACCTCATTTTTTAAAAAATTTTCATTTTAACTTCCCGGTAAATTGATGTGCACGAGTTATTGCGAGAAAGTCAATCCATTTCATGCTGACTTTTAGTTTTTCTTCGTTATCATCATCTTTTTGTGACAGCAGACTTTTAGTTCTGGATTGTGAAGGTTTTATACCAAAAACGTTGAATTCTCTTTTCCTCGATAAAGATCATCATGTAAAATCACGAATCATAAATAGATTGACAAGCTCGTCATGCAAATGCAATAACAAATAACAGAGGTGAGGGGATAATGGTTTAAAAAGAATTAATTGAAGAGAGATGCAACAGAAGAACAAAAATACAAACTTAATAAATTAAAAAGGATTATCCCGAGGAAGAAGAACTATGACCAGAAGCTGACCATGGCGGCAACTGCGTAGAATACAATGAAGAAAATGAAGTGGCCTGCGGAGAAGTTATAGAGAAACCAAACGCAGAAGAAGAAGAAGAAGACGAGGTTGACGGCGACGACGAAGATTGAACATGAGAAGCCATGGTAGAAGCCATTAACATGCGATCATCATAAAGGTTCATGGGAAACCCAGAGAGCTGAAAATAGTCATAGAAATCGCTGGAAGCCTGAGAAGGGGGAAGAGCTTCAGTATGAACAACTGGGTCAGTGGAGGTTGTAACAGATACCATAGAAGTAGAAGAATTGGAAAGGTTCCATTGAGGTTGTCGGAGAGTAACATTCTCAGGGAAGTTAAGTTTCGCTTTGTTCCCTCTGAAACGCAAAGCAGCTTCATCGTATGCTCTTGCTGCTGCCTCCGCTGTGTCAAATGTCCCTAACCAAACCCTCGCTGCTTTGAATGGATCTCTAATCTCCGCAGCCCATTTTCCCCATGGCCTCTGTCTCACTCCTCTGTATTTTCTCCTTCCTTGATCCCTCACCACATTCTCTGTTGTTCTGTATTCGTACACAGCATTCACCATTTCCCTCGTTTCTGTTATTATGCTACTTGTCATGTTGTTGGAACATTCTGCAGCTGTGTATATATAATTAATCCCACATGAATAAGTATATAATAAGGTTAATTCCTTCAGATAAAAATTTATAACAAAAATAGTAGTATATTTGCTAAGCACTTCATTTTATCTTTAAATATATAACATGTATTCTGAAGGGGTTGGACGAAAATATTGAATGGTTGAGCAGTTCTATATTACAATATGAAATTTTAAAAAAATACATGTGTATTTATCAATGATTATATTTCATGATGGAAAATTAAAAATAGTAGTAACAGATTGTAAAGGGTTCAATTTTGTGCTTACTTGTAGTTGGCATAGCAAGGGATGAAGCGGGGTGTGAGAAAGAAGAGTCATGTTCCCTACTTCTCTTGAGAGATGAAGAAGGCATGTTTGGGGAAACAATAGCAATAGCATCATCGACAAGAGCACTGGGTTGATGAGAATCACCGCTTGGCACATCTCCAGAGACCACGTGAGCCAAAGCTGAGACCATAGCAGACATCTCTCTCTCCCTATTCATACCTGGAAATAGCATTTGCATGGTTGACAATGTTGGGTTGTTCATCCCTTCATGAGACTCCCTCCTCTCAACCTCGTTTCCCTTCTCTCCAGGATTCGCCACCTTTGATAAACACATGTAAAACTTGTTTAGATAATTTTTTTTTTCATGCAAAAATGTACAATTTATACCATCCACTCCAACAACCCCATGAGTTTTTTCATTTATATGTACTAAGGAGAGAAAGGTTCAAATTGTTTGCAGGCGCCGCCATAGAAGAGTCAGACGGTGAATTAATGACAAGTGTATTAAAACTTCTTATGGACGAAGTAGCTCAATGAAATAAAACCAAACAATTAATAAAAGTGAAAAACAGTTTGAAATTCTCCTTGTCTTTAAATTTTGACTACCATTTGGTAATTAATTTTTCTAAGTTGAAGTGTAACATAAGACATGAATGATGTAGCCCCAATAAGTTGGGAAAACAAAAGATTTATATGTGAAAGCACAAACTTTTGCCGGCGCTCGCTGGTGTTTGTGTGGAGAGAACCTTAATTGGCGGTTGCCGGTTTGGCAAAGTTGGTTCTAGTCGGTGAAGAAAAATAAAGCTAATAGCCGACATGGTAACCAATTAAATAGTGAGAGAAAATTTAGATAGGCCCTTTTATTTATATAACTTTTTTATTTTTATATGTTTATTCTTTTATAAATATATCATTTATGACATTTTACTTTTGTTTTTTCTTACATCTCACAGCTGATAATGAAATGTGAAAAAAATCATCGTTCCGAAAAAAGGTAATTAAAATCCAATGCTAAAGCGGCTTCAAAAAGAGTTTGAAAAGGATGTATGGAGAGCGCGACATATCGAATCCACTAACTAAATTTGGGATGACCCATCTTGTGTGAGTGCCATCTAATTCTAAGGTTGTGTTCTGTTTTGAGCTGACTCTCATCATGAACTCCCACAAAAAAGTGATCAATTTTTATACCCGTGTTCTGCCTACATGATACCCAAACTAGGATGAATCTAAGGACATGTTAAACAAAAATTATGTTTTTATACTTTAATGGGATCCTTGGAGGAAGAGAGAAAAAGATAAATGTAAGAGGAATGTTAGGGACAATATATAAATATAATAACCAACGTAATAGAAAAAAAAAATTATGTAAAAAACGAAGGTTGGATGCAAACATGATTAGTTCATATTTTCTTTTTTATTTAAGAGCTTAATTAAATTCAGCTTTTAAAATTAAGAACAAGCAGTTAATAATAATAAAACCCTTTATCTAATTTTACAATATCCCTGTGGCAAAGTTAAATACGAGAATTGTACAGGTGCATAACTTTATCCAAAGAAAGGGGCAAGGCATGAACTTCACAATATAATAAACATCAGTTTTTTTTTTAATAAACTTTATTATTATTGATAGTGATACAAAGGGCAACAATCTATTTATATTCTACGCATTTTAAATTTTTGAGCCATGATTGCTTGTTTCTTGAGTTAGAAGATAGGGAAACACCTAAAGCAAGCTATGTGAAGAGATGGAGATAAATAACTTAGGAGTGAAGCTGTTAATAATTTTCCGCCCCTGGATTTATGATGGATGGTTAAAAAATAACTGATAATAATTATAGCAATATATTGTAAGTTCAATTATAATATTAATTTCCATTTTCTGAATAAAAATTTGAAAAAGGTGTAAATTCATTTTACCTGGAGTAGATGACTTTTATTGGTACCATAGTATGTATAAATAACAAAATTCAATTTAAATGACCAACTTACATGATAATATTATATTTAAAAAATTATACATATATATATAAAAGAAAGATAAAATCAATTTTTAAATATTAAAAATATATTATATTTAATTCAAAAATATTATTCCTTTCTTTGGTACCTTGTGTATAAATCTTTATAAACATCATTTACTATTCTCTAATCCTTTTGTCATAGTTATAAATCGTTCTGTTTAAATGAGTCCAATTAACTTTAAACATATAGTAATATTAAATTTACACAATTAACAATTTAGAGAGCAGTTCTTCCCTGATTTGGTTGCATGGGATCTCCGATTTTAGTAGCCTTTTTGGAACAAATGTTACGGTCAACGTTTTCAGCCAAACGATACTGGCGCACGCGGTATAATCGCAACGGATATGGATGGAATGATAAAATAAAACTGCGTGTGGTGCCAACCAAAACACCGTTGACTCATTCGGTTCTGTTCTAGAAACAACTTAAAATTTGTCCCTTTGTATTTTCTTTTAAATTTTCTCACCTTAAAATCTTTAACAGAATACTTTGGTCGCGTTACCGTGATGTTTTAATTCTATGTTAGTAATGCAATAGAGTTACTTTAAAAGTTTCATTTTATGGGATCACGTAACTTTCATTGTCATCATTTTATATTCGTCTTCCTTGAGTTCATTAATATTAATATTAATATTAAAAAACTCTTACTCCTACTCCTACATATGCTATGTGAGTTGTGCACGAACAGCTAACATCACTCAGTAATAACTTTCTATGGGGTCACACCAAAATTACTTTTACAACAAGTTAGAATATTAACTTTGACGTTTGATATTTTTTAAAACTATATTTATCCTCTAAATATAATTTTATTTGAGTTGAATAAAATTACTGTAAATGATAAAGTTTTTTTTCTATAAATATTTAATACAATTATATCTATTAAAAATCAGACTCAAAACTATAGGTTAAATTAGAATAACACATTACTAGTTAATCTATATATTAAGTGATACTCCATCGTATTTTTATATATCTTTTGTCTAATTATTTTTTTGAATTATTATTTGGTTTCATTTCGTTTATTATTTTCTTTTTTAATAATTATTATCTATTTGAGAAATTAGTAATTAGTATTTCTAGTTTTTTGAAAATATCATCTTTTAAAAAGTCAAGGAAGGAATTGTTAGCCTAAATAATGTTTTAATTTTATACCAAAATAAAAGAAAATATTGTTTTACTTTACATTGAGGAGAAAATCATATTTTGCTAGAAAGGTAACTTTTTTTTTTGTCAACGTGTCGATATAAAAATAATTATTTTAAATAAAGTAATTAAAAATATATATTCTTTGTTTATGGTGAAATTTGTCATATCATTATTAGTATCACACCCTACAAATGTAATACTTATTTAAAAAATAAAAAATATTACATGTATAGTGCAAAATATTTTTTTTTTTAAAATTAAATATTATCTCAGGCAAAGACGATATTAGCTTCACTTAACATTCATCACATGTATCGTTTTTTATAGAGGCAATCAAAATTCACTTTCTAACAATTAACCAAAGACAATTTGACATAATCATAAATCTAATGAGGCAGCAGCACTAGATTTAATGTAAGTTAATATTGAAAAATTTTACCTTTAATTAATTATTCAATTCCTTTTTATACATATAAATGTAGTGATGATTTAAAAATAACAAGACTTCTTTTTTAATATATGCAAAATTAGAAATGACCATTTTAAGTTATAGTATTAAAAGCAAAAATATAAACATACAAGTAAGTGAAAATAACTTATAATGAATAAAATTTAACTAGCAAAGGCATCTACAAACCTATAATTTGCAAATAAAATATAAAAAAATATTAATAAATATATGAAATTGATCCAACAAATAACAATTAGATATTATTCACAACAAGAGAATTGTTTTAAGGGTTTTAACTAACTAAATTTTGAATGATTGAGTAATGATAAATCACTTTAAAAAGCAAAAAATAATAATATTGTAACAGAGTTGAAAAATCAATTAGTAATTTAGTAAGACATATTAAAAAGGACAATTATTATAAAAAAATCAACATAAATCTAAATTCAAACTAATTTCTAGTGTTGTAACTAGAATGATGATGGACTAGCTCTAAGTAAAGGTCCACCTTCAAGTCTTATTGTTTCTAATATAAAACATGTTGCTGACTCATTTCAAAATTCTTTAAAATATCAACTCAAAATAATTTAATCAATAAATAAAATTAAAAAAATAGAATAATAGTTTTCATTTGGAGGAAATTCAAAATAATTATAAAAATAGAATATATACCAACGATAATTCTTTCAAAGGCTCCAAAATCTTCACTCACATTTAAGGTTGTCAAAACAGTCGATCTATCTTAACCTACCTAAAAAAAAGCCAACTCACATTGTCCAATTTAGAAAATAGGCTATATTTTTAACTTGATTCATTTAAGGATGTTTTAGCGAGCTAACACATTAGCACCCTAAAGACCAGAAAATTATTAAAAAAAAAAGTTGTTGGGACAATGTGATAACCCACCTAAAATTAACAAAAAATAAATAAATAAATATTTATAAAAATTATTTTTATATTAATAAAATTACTATTTAATTAATAAATAATTATTTTTTATTTTTTAAAAATTAAAATAGGTCTAACGAAGCAACGAATCCTAACCTATATTTTGATATGCTAAAACAAGGTGAATTGGGAAGGTCAACAGATTCAATGCATTTAGCCTGACTCACCATTTTTAGTAAGTTAGGCGGGTCAACTTATTAAGCCCAACTCAATTTGACACTCCTACTTACATTAATATCATTTAATTGAGAGAGAGAAAATGTCTCAATAAATTTTTAGCACATATCAATGCCTTTATCATTTGAGAGCTTTGAAATGTATAGAAAATTCTATCCGAAGTTAAAAATACACTTTGTCAAGTCACATTAGAAATAAAATTAGTCAAAATATCTCTTACCATAGTTGACAATATAAGAAATTGTAAAGAATTTTGTTCTACCACCTAAGTATTTAAAATTTATCATTCTTATTTACATACTCTTCAGTTAAGTACTTATCCAACTCATTTTTTTTTTATCAATGTAAGTTTTTATCTTAAATATTGTTTAAAAGCATCTCTTTTTGCAAATATGATGCAAGTTCAATAGGACCAATTGTTTCCACACAAGATATATATTCCATTGGAATGAGACCAAATCTTTTCTTAGGAGAAGAAGAATACT